ATATTTATATATATATATATATATATATATATATATGCATGTTAATATGTTTTTGTAATTTTTTTAAATACATATCTATTTTTATATTTACTTTTATATTATACTACTACTTTTATATTATTTATTTTATATTATATTATACTACTTTTATATTATTATTTATATAATATCAACACATATTGATGGGTTTTATTTTTACACATGGGCTAGATATACATGTTAATATAAGAAATTGTTCCAATTTCTAATAGGTTTCATACATGTTTTTACTTTTATATGACAATATATGTCATATCCTGTATGGAAACCTAATATATTTATTTATATTACATTTGTGTATAAGTTCAAATGTACTCTATGTCATGATATTTCATGAACTTAAAAAAAATTATGAACTGTACAGATGATCTCTTGGAAAACAGCCAAACGTTGAGCAGATTATCAAAAATCATCTCATTTTGTATGGCTCTGAGAAAAACAAAAAAAACAAAAGAAAAACAAGATAAATGATCCTCTGGCCATTGCTTTGCTGCACTAAAATATGTCATGATAAGTATCACTTTTTTTCACATTATAAAAAAATCCTAAAATTAGCAATTCTAATCATTTGTGCAAGTTCTTTCACAGTGCACTGGAACTGTGCAGTTTCAGAGAGGTCTAGACATTAGAGTTACGCAGCAGGCACGGGCCATTAGCTGAAGTGCTTAGTCGTCAGTTGTTTCCAGGACGCCTGGTGTTTAGGATAAGTTACGCATGTATTGATCGCCGTTGTAATATTAATCACTTCCCTCTTAAAGGGAGTGACAAAATTTGAACCAAAATAACTAAGCTGTGGGAGACTCCTTGCCTGAACTCTCCTTAAACCCAGAAACTCTGAGAGTGAAAGCATTTGATTTAAATTCCCTTAATATCCCAAAATATACAGCAAACTTAACAGTGTAGAGTTTTAAATCTTTAACAAGAAAGCACATATCAAAGTGTTCCCTGAACATGGGCCAGAGTCATTTCCTATCCAGATTTAAATCAGGTGTACTGTTTACTGGCCCTCGAGGTACATGCAGTACCAAGAGGCCTGACTATCATACAACATTCTGAAATAAATCAAATATGTGCTTGGGTAAAGAAACACTGTCAGGGAACCAGTGGCTCAGCATGAAATTTAACGAACCACAAGGTTTGCTTTTTTAATTTTTGCCACTATTGATACATTCTTCATAATGTGCTACCAAGGTGAGATGATTAAGTTTAACATTTTTATTTCTTTCATTATTTATGAATAAATTGCATACTTTATAATAATAGCATTATATAACACTGAAATGTGAACATGAAACGCAAACTTTTTTCTACATGTCTTGGGGGAAGCACTAAAAATTAAGTCTTTTAAGACAGTAGGTGTCTACTTAGATTAAAAATGACCCACAGGAGAGAAAGTAGACTGCCACTAATTGCCATTAATTTCAGTTCAATAAGCCTTTTTGTGCAGAGGCAAAATATTGAGACTGAATAATGGTAAAATAAGCTATATGCAGACTTTCATAACCATGGCCAATTTAGTTTATTTGAAAGATAGCATACAAATTACTTATTATCCCTTTTGTGGAGAGCTGTGTTATCGTGATTTGGTTTTAAGATTATGACTAATTATTTTGGGGCACATAAAGAGTTTTTTACCAGACACATTTGTTACCTACAGAAAACCTTGGTAACACTTTCTCTTTTGAAAAAGCACAGCACAGTTTTAGGACCCAATTCTTCAGAACCTGAATCATCAGCTCAGCCTTTCGGATTTCCTGTTCTTTCAGATGGAATTACTGGCCTGTTTACATAAAAACACTTTAAAAATGTTATATTTGCCATGAGCTTGCGGAACGTTTTTTGTTTGTTTGCTTGTTTGCTTCTATCATGTGAAAATGAATCTAACCTTCATGAATAAATACAACACATGAGATGACATGGGCTGTATGCAACCAGATGCAGGCATTCAGAACACTTCTATAAAACAAACTGAAGCAGCATTAATAGTGACTTATGTTTTAATGTGAATTAATGTTGCGCATTATTTACAATTAAAAATATGTTTACTGTTTACAATTTCCTGATAACCTGGACCAGTTACAACTGTTGTCATTTAATTATATGCATGCTTATTCAACAGCACACACCCCACTGTGCTCCCCTGCACTTGAGATAATCTGAGCAAGTGTGAGTACTTTGTAACAGCCGTAATTGCCTCTTAATTACTCTGCTTACTATCTGATGAGTTGTCAAGGACTGCTTTTATCTTATGCCAACTATAATAACTTCAGATCATATGTAATGCTACCATGTTAGGTTGTCCTTATGACCTCAAACAAATGAATACTGGGGTAGGCAATGAAATATTTAGGCTCTCTGTGCTGAACAATAATTCAATAGAGATATAGCAGCAAATCAAGGCTATAGCCTGTAAGTTATTATTTTTCATAGAAGTTCATATGGCAAAACATGGTTTTTAGTGATCAAATTTTGATTAAAATTAGTCATAGCTAGCCAAATACTACAAAAATAAATAAATAAATTAGGGCTGTCAACGTTAACGTGTTAATGCATGCGATTAATTTTACAATCCTTAACTCGTTAAAATAATTTAACGCAATTAACGCGAAATTACTGAAGCACAATTTCTATTCTAAACTTTTAACCCAATTTTGCTTCTCTGTTTGCGATCAGATCATTTTAAGCCACTAAACTCCGGGAAAGTTTTCAGTCCAATGATCCAGAATATATATATATTTTTTTTTTAGCATTTTTTTTCTTTCATATGTGCTTATATGGGCTCCTTACATCGTCTGGTTCTTTGGAGTTTCATTTTGGAGTTCTTTTGGAGTCCTTTTTTGGAAAGACATCTAAATTTATCTTGAAAAAAGCTTGCAGAAAATACAGATTTTTGAGAATCACCCTTCAATCTTTTGGTTTACATTGCTGGATATAGTAAATGATGACAAAATAAACATTTGAAACAAGGTATATGGTCTATGCTTAATTTCATGAAGTGTGCGATTAATCACAGAAAAAGGGTGTGATTAATTAGATTAAAAATTGTAATCTATTGACAGCCCTAAAATAAATAAATAAATAAAAATTCGTAGACAAAAGTAGGTAACCATAACAACAGAAAGCTGCTCGCCAGTTTCCCATTGCGATCAGATTTGTGCTGTGCGTATAAGGCAAGTGCATGACTTGTAGCTATATGATAAATAACCTATATCACAAAAAACTAGTGTTTTGTTTAAATAGTATTTTAGATAAGTGACGTCTAGCTGACTATGCGGTACTAAATCAATGAGTTCGCGATGAGAACATAGAGAGATTATGCAATGAAATTACTTTTATATTTAATGATTTTACGTTTTATTTCTTTAGAAAAAGCCTAAATTGCTTTGAAATACCTGACTTCCCTTTAAGTTATGATATAATTATCATACTGTTTATTAAATGAAATAGAATGAGAGATAAATGTATAATTTGAATTTATTAGAATGCATAAAGAATCATTATTATGATTAGACTACATAGGTTTTAGTATATGAATGCGTTTGCCGTATTCCCCGATCCAGTAGCCTAACTCGAAATAATTTCTGTGATTACAGTAAGCGACGTCGTTGAAGCACGCGAACTTTTTCGGAAGAAATGATGAACATCCGCCAAATATTTTATTGTCGTTGTGCAGCTTCTAATTTTTTATTTTTAATTCCGTTCACTGGTAACATACGTGTTGACTGAAAGCTCACTTGAGCGCTGTATGAAAACGAAGTTGTGCGCAGTCCCAATAACTGGAAAAGACAACCTTACATAGCTACAAAAATGATTTATAAAGACCAAGCCCGCCTATGAACAATTCCCTCATTTTACTAAATGATCACCTGAAATAATAATAGCCTAAATGATAACACCTGACACGCATGATTCATTCTTACATGCTTCAAGAACAGATGTCCATTTATCTGAATTAAACATGATTAATGAATATTGTATTCGCGATAACGGCACAAACAATGTAGCCTACAGCAGCGACGCCACACCAAACAGATACGAGCCTAAAAATGATGGCAGAAGAAATCATAGTTTACCTTCAGCGAGAAGGCGCATCGCGTGGACGAACGACGGGTCCAAGCTCTCCTTCTCGGCAATGAGCTCTGGCAGGTACTTGTCCTGATCCATCACTGGATTCCTCTCCTGAACACCGCGAGTGCAGGTGAGACTACCAAAGTGGTAAGTGATGGAATGGGTGTGTGGATGTTGCGTTTAAATAGGCTGCGTAATATCGGGGAGGGATCGTGTGGTTTTCGCGCACAACGTGGAAGATATCAATGCAGTGTACCCATCTCCTCGAGTCTCTCATGTAAAACCTCCCACCTCAGACTCCGAATCTGTACTCTCACTCCGCCCATCTATATCTGGATTGGTCATGGCAGAGAGCAAACTGCATGCAAATGTCAGATATTGTCTATAGGACTGAACAGGGGACATTCTGAGATCCCACTGCTGATCTGTGACCCCTGCCCATGGTTCTGAACACCTAATCTTCTATGCAAATCTATGGTTTTGCACTCTCTGACAAGTAACCTTGGATTTCCTTTGCACATTTGCTTTGAAAAGACATCAGACAACAAATGCATTGTTGTAACAATATTATAAAGCAGGTATAATTGGACACTGAATCCAACATGAAATAATGGTATGAGTCATTCTTCATATGCTTTAAAAGAATAGTTAACCCGAATAGGAAAAGTTTCTGAATTGTTTTAATTACCCTCAGATCATCCAAGATGTAGATGAGTTTGTTCCATTGGAACAGATTTGGAGAAATTTAGCATTACATAACTTGCTCACTAGTGGATCCTCTGCATGCAGTGAATAGGTGTCGTCAGAATGAGAGTTCAAACAGCTTGATAAAAACATCACAATAATCCAAAAGTAACTCACACAACTCCAGTCCATCGGTTAATGTCTTGTAAAGTGAAAAGCTGTATGTTTTGTAAAAAACAAATCGATCATGAAGGCATTTTAACTTTATACCATCGCTTCTGGCCAAAATACCAACCTACAAGTCCACAATCCACAATGGCACTTTCTCCAGTGAAAAAGTCCATCCCCTGTTGTCCTCTCACATCAAAATCCACCGACATCTTTGTTTGGAAATATTTTCGACTGTTTTTGCTTGTTCTGTGCATATTTCTCTCCTGATTCAAACAAGATCATTTTTTCACTGGAGAAAGCAATATTATGGATAGAGGACTTTATAGCTGGAAATGACAGTGAAAATATAGCAGTAAAATGATTTTGTTAATTGGAACGGTGCAATAACAGATATTCAGGACAAACATACGTTTTCCACTACAGACAGCGGAGTTGGAAGGGAAATTTGGTAACGGCCATGAATACTAATCAGTGGATTTCCCATTTGCCTCAGTTTGCCAAGATGGATTAAGCTGTTGTGACAGACAGTCACAGATAGTGCAAACACACACACTAACACTTAGCCAAGCAGCTAAGCACATATGAGAGGGAAGGAAAGATAGCCACAGAGGAGAAGGGGAGAGAAGACAGAGAGAGAGAGAGAGAGGCAGTGAAAGGAGGAAGAGGGACAGGACCAGCTTGCCTAATTAATAACTGAATGGATTACAGTGCTGTTGGCAAACATCTGCACCCCAAGTGTCATATTTACTGTCTGCCTGTGAACTATGAACATAATTACAGAATACTGGTCCACATAGACAGAGTGTTGCATGGTAATGCTACAAATGAAAAACCATTTGGCACAAGTAATCAAAAAGTAAAACATCAAAAAGTCTCATGTGAATAGTTTTATCCAGAATATTCCATAATATAAAAAGAGGGTTATGAAAACAAGAGCATACAAAAAATAGAACGCATGCTACTGCATTTGATAAAACCTTTTTATATACAGTATGCAAATATTTTATAAAGTGTAATATGTCACAAAACAAGCCATGCAAGCTATCTACAGTATATAAAGCTGGTTTGCATTAAATGTTTAATAGAATTTCAACAAAAAGAAAAACAAAACTAGAAAAAAAGTCCACACTATTAAAATATTGATTCACATATTTCATTTCTGACAAGTAATACTAACTTCAGTACATTTCTAACCATCACTTTCATTTAAAATGACAAAAATACTTGCAGATGCTTTGGGTTCTTACTTTAGAACATCTTCATTTATTTCCTGAGTGACTTCCGATTCAGGTTTAGCTGAAAGGTCCATGTTGTATTTTACGCTTTAACACTCTGGTCGGAATCAGTTTGGCAATAGGATAATCAAATGGATTTGGAGTTTCTATATTGATTTCTGAGGGTGGTGAATGGGAAGGGATTAAGGAAAAAGAAATAAGGGTTTGTGGAGGATCAACACCTTCTATACATCACTCACCACTCAACATAATGAAATCCTTCTGAAAGGCAAAAGCTATCAGTTGCTATACGCTTCTTTTGTCTCATCTCTACAAGATGAAAAACAGTTTTATTGCTTCATCAAAAGATTGCGATTCATCAAAAGTCTCTCACTTAGCCTAATTTGTGGCTTTTGTGTTCTCATTTTTACAAAATATCTGCCTGATTGATATATAAGTTTTTCTTTTCATATTGGTGAGAGAAAAAATCAGTTGATGACTATTTATGGTGATATTATGGTATTTGTTCCACAGTTATCCAACATCACACACAATCAATCAGTTCCTTTACCATATTTGTAGTCATACCAGCCACTTTAGAAAGAAAGAAATTGCAGCTATATTGAACTTCTGAGGCATCTGGTCAAGAAAAAAACAACTAGAGCAGCCTCTGTAGTTACACTTAACAGCTTGGCATCATTGATTCCGTTGCATCATGTATTAAACTAGTAAGAATGGCTTTCTGCAGCACTCTAGTGGCCAAAAATAACACAACAGGATCAGGTAGATTAGGCCAGTGCTTCTCAGTTGGTTCTTCTGAGCACAGCTCAGCTCAGATGAGCAGCAACTCACTACACAAATGTAAATTTCTCAAATCTGACTAGGAAACTGATAATTTTGGTTTTTAATTGTCACTTAAAATTCAGTAGTTACATGCTGTGGGCAGCCAATAATTCAAAGCACAAAACAAATTCTGGCCAGCACAGAATTTGTTGTTTGTAATTTATTTTTGTTTCCTGCTGTCCCATTAACACTAAATTGGACAGTGTTTAATTAGAAAAGTGATGCATTTTACAAATATTAAGTTTCATAAACATTTATTTTAAAAGAACATAAAAAAAAACATCTGTCATGAAAACTTTAGAGAAAGTCTTTAATATTCAAAATATATAACTGTCAAACTGAAAAACAAAAATCAGCTTTTCTGGCACTTTGTTTTTTTTTTCTTAAAAAAACATTCAGAAGATCCAGTCATTCATTCTGGATTGCTGGCACATCAAGCACTGAAGGATAATTAGACTTTTTTACAAAATACATGATGAATTGCAAGGCTGTAACAGCACCATGTGTTAGGAATAATCAATCTTTATTACATCGTCAAAATAATAAGTAGAGCTAAAGTACATTGACTTGACACCTCAGAGCAAATTCCCTAACAACTATTAAAAACAAATAACGTTTAGTAGTATGCAACATTTTCAAAGTCCTGAGCTGCACTTTAATGAAGCACTTTTTTTGGCATGTATCAAACAATTTTGAGCGAATGTAATCAGCTCAGGGACAATAGCTTTGGTATTTTAGCAGAGTCTCCGATTGTGGAAATGCAATAGCCCACAGTGTGAATTATTAACCAGCACTACTGAGAGAGAAATCAGGAGAGGGGAGGAAATGGGGTAATGGGATATTAAGTTTTGCTCAATTTGAGGACTAAGGGTTCACATGGCATCTCAGGCCCTTGTGTCACATCAACCTCCTGCTTCTTCGCTTGAGATTGATGTATTTATTTATTTTTACAAGCTCTCTGTTTCACACAAAGCAATCCATTCTACCCTGACAGGTGAGAGAGCTATTGAGATGATGCTATAAACAGCTTGGGCTGGTACCGACTGTCTTAGTCTGTAGTACATTCTGTTGTCCAAAATTGTGTTGCCAATGAAAATCACAGACTGAGGTCAGGAGACGTTAAATAACCTTAATGGAAGATAATGCAGTCAAACACATTCATATACTCCTATTTTTATGTTAGATATCAGGTATCATGATAGATATCATGACAATCTAATGACAGAAGATCAATAATCTAAATATATTATTTAGTAACAATTTAGTTACAAACAAGTTAAGTACATTTTTGGTCAAAATTTAGAATACTGTTCTTACATCATCTATGAATAATCAAATAACACAAGAACAAATCGGCAACACAATATTAACATTCTAGTAACTACAAATAACTAATGATAATTGATGTGAAACTAATGAATAACTAATAATGGACACCTTAACATTTTAACGTACTTATATAAAATAGGCCTGTACTGAGCAGTAGAATGTGCGAGTGGTGGGCACACAGCTGTTCGTTACTGTTCATTAAAATATTATGATTCATAAAGGTCAGCATTAAGGCAAAATGTGTTAAGGCAATGTTAGGACAGTGTATCTAAATTAGGCTTATAATGGTGAAGACCAGAGCAGATAATGGCTGCCACTGCCCCTGGCCAAAAGAGTCCACGCAGGGTTAAATAGTGAGTCTGCTGTACCCTGACAAGCCCAAACCCTTTGTCATCAACAATAATTTCCACTGTGAGCTCCCTTGTAAAAGAAAGTTTAATAAGAGCCTCTGGGCAAAAAAAAGTGCATATAAAAGACCTTACATTACTAATTGAAATAGCTTTTTTGACCCACAGGGCAGCCATATATCAGCAGTTATTACAGTTTGCCTATTCTACTGAGGGAGCGTTCCGTGATCAATTAAGATTAACTCAATTTATTGCTCCTCGGGCTACTTGTAAACAGTGCTGGACGTGTCTTGTCTTTTGAGGACCACTACTGAGAAAAATAAAAATAGTACTCAAACAACTGAGGGTTTGCTGTGTATAAAACAATTTGTGTTTTCAAAGAGACCTAATCATCTGTCATGGAAAATGTATTTGATCAAAAACACAGTAGAACAGTAATACTGTGAAATATTACCATTTAATTAACCAATAACTGTTTTCTATTTTGATATATTTTAAAATGTAATTTATTATTAGCCAAGTCTTCAGTGTCACATGATCATTCAGAAATCATTCAGTGCTGATTTGCTGCTCAAGAAACATTATCAATGTTGAAAATTTTTTTGTGAAAACACATGATACATTTTTCAGAATTTCAGGATTCAAAAGAAGAACAGCATCTATTTAAAATAGTCACAGATGTATACTGTTACAAACTTAATCAGAATGGTAGTTTATAAGCTTTAAAATG